CAGGAGCACCTGTCCCTGAGACTCGAGCTGTCCTTACCCCAGCACCAAGCTCCTTCTCCTCTAGCCACGCCACTCCCTCCGGGGCAAGGAGTCCACAGGACCAGGAGTTATGCCCATGCTCTACTTTTCAGGACACGCTCTGATGACTGGGATTCTAGAGCTCCCTTCCCAAATGTCCCAGAGCCTGCATGGGTACAGGTACACCCTTCTGAGGGTGGACGCGGCCTTCTGCTGGGGTACCTTGAGATTTGAGGTGTGCCAAGGGGCAGAAACTGGGGTGGGATGAGGAGCACATGTGGACCCACAGACTGACGTGCCTGCAGGCGTGCACACAAGGGCCTTCACAGTGCAGGACTCAGCAGAGGGTAGCACGTCACCAGGGCCATGACGATGCAATGATGACGACATGTCATCATCGTTCGCAGCCTGGCCTTGGTCCCTGCCCATGTTAGGTGTGGGCCAGCCTGTGAGCCTGCCCCCTGGAGACCGTGGGAGTGACACTGATGACGTCATGCCATCCATTCCCAGCACCTCCTGGGGCCTTGTCTACCTCCTTCCTCTGACCCGTACCCCAAAGAAAGCTGCTGCTTCCAGGCTGGGCCTGGAGTGGTGCTGGCTGGGGAGGGAGCGGAGGCCACAGCATCAGCAGGGTTGCCTGGTTTCTTGCAAATATGAACACCTACACCCAGAGGCAGGGGGGAGTGTGAGTTTGAATGTATAAATATGTTTGGGTGACTGCGAGCAAGGAAATGAGCAAGCACTTGAGGAGTGAAAGAGAAGAAAAGGAGAGTGACCCCGTGCACGAGGGTGAGTGCACGAGGAAGAAGGAAAATGTATGTGTGCGTGTGCACAGAGTGGGGTGCATGGAGACTGCATGCTTCTGATGGCCTGGGGAAAGGATAGAGAATGGGACGGAAGGAGTGTTCTCGCTGGTGTGTATGTGTCCGTGAGAAGGGGTCTGGCCACGGAAAAGAAAGAGACCTAAAGCCCGAATGATGGAGAAGGCGGATGGGCCTGGAAGATGGCACCACAGAGCAAAGAGATGCAGAGCACACAAGCGGAAGGCTTGCAGGTGCATGGGCTTCAAGTGGGTGTGCACCCGTGGGGCTGCATGAGGCAGAGAGAGACAGGGCATGTGCCTGGGTAGCTGGGTGTGTGGGTCTGTGCATGTGCATATGTGCGCACGGGGCTGGGACAAGTGAGAATGGAGATGAGCGTGTGAGCTCAGGCGGGCGGCGCCCTGGGATATGAGTGAGCGCACCTGTCCCCTGGAGCTGGAGGACACCCCCGGGGCTGTTGGCTGCTGGAGGTGGTTTTCACCCAGATATCTCAGGCTGGGAGGTCTACACGACTAGACGTGCTGGTTCAGGCCCAGGTGACCGTGGCCAGGCATGTTGGCCACGCCGCCCCTGCCCGGCAGTGCGTGTGGGAATGCGTGAGTCACTCAGACAAGGCTAGCCCTCACTCCACCTCGTCTCGCCTGGCGGGAAGACAGCTGGGAGGGGAAGACATGACTTGATGGCTGTATTTTTACACCATCCTTATGCAACAGCTTGCAGTGCCCTTGGGCTCATTCTAAAGGTCCTGCTCCCCAATTCTCTCAGCCTTTATACTCCCTTTTATGTCTAAGTTGCTGCTCAGATCGGTGGTTCTGGCTGTTGAGAATTTATGGAAGTGTCCTTATCAGCTTCTAGAACCGCCCTATTTACAATAGAAAATCACCCCCCAGTCCTTTCTCATCCCTCCTTCTCGGCTTTAATTTCCTCCACAGCACGTACCCCAACTACCATCCTAAACATTTTACTTATTTATTAATTATCTAGCTTTCTCTACAAAGCAAATGCCTATGGATCAAACTCCAGGGACCGTTCTGAGCTTTCCATTTATCCATGTGCTCCTCCAACAACTCTACGTGGTTGTAAATAGTATTCATGCTTGTCTCTTGTAACTGGGAGGCACAGAAAGGTTAAGTCGATTGCCCATGATCACTCCCAGGGGTAAATGGTGGAACCAAGCCCAGGTCCAGAGTCCCTGCTCTTTATCAGTGCACCACACTGCCCTGTGAGGATGGACATTTTCTCAGTTCGGTTCACTGCTAAATCTTCAGTGCTTGCACATGTGTCCTGCGCGGGGATTCCCTCCATGAACAGTCATCCAGGGAGTGAAGAAATGAGTGAAAGACTCCCCTGGACATGCAGGACAAGATAGGCACTTGCTTGCAAAGAACTCGAAGTCCCGCGGAGGAAACAGACAAAACATGATTACAAGATCACATTGCAATGGCATCGTGCATGGGAGTCCCGTGGGGCGTCTAACTTGCCTAACCTCTGGCAGGCAGGGCTTTCCGGAAGAAGGACACAGATGGAGACAGGCAGGGTGACATTGCCCATCTCCTCCAGACTCCTCCCCAGGGCAGACACACCTTAGCGCTTCTTGCCTCTGTTCACACAGTGCCAGAAACTGATGGTAGCTCCATGGCGACAATGGAGGCAGAATGGGGAAGTGACCAGGAGCATGGGCTCTGGAAAGAGACGGCACGGACTGAGTCCTCACTCTACCAAACACCAGTGAAGTGACCTTGGACGGACTCCCTCACTTCCCTGGGCCTCGGTCCTCTCATTTAGAAGATGGGGACCGGAAATGATCGCAAAAGATGGGGACTGTGAGATGTACATGTGAGTATTTAGAACAGTGCCAAGCACAACGAAGGGAACGTGTTCGCCCCCCACTGGAGATAACCAATATTCCTCTTCCATTCTAAGCTGGTTGCTGGTTTTCAGGGAGGGTTGAAATTTCATGTATTATTACTGTAGTCTCTCTCTTTGTGGTTCCAGGCCATTTTTTCAGAAGCAGCTCAAAGCAGGGCAGGGAGGACATCTGTTTTATTTACCACTAGATTCCTAGCACCTAGTATAATACCCAACATGTAGTGGGGACTCAAAAAGTGTTTGTGGAATGAATGTCTGTGTAATTATATCCAATCCTTGTAAGGATAAATACTCATATTGCTGTTGTTTCCATTTACAGATAAGGATTAGAGGCCCAGCAGGGGTAAGCGACCTGTCCATAAACACAGAGCCTATAAGCCAGACTCCGATGCCAAAGCCAGTGCTCTTTCCTTCACACTGTGCTACTCCCCACACTCCTATACATCATGTCCTATTTCCCGTGGGTTTTTTCTAGCCACTAGGCCATCCCCGGTCATAGAATCATCTCTGAATTCTATGACTCATATCTGAATCACGGAACATTTAATAGTTGAAAGGGACTTTTGATGTCATCTCGACCTCCCACCCATTGTGGAAATTTCCTCTCTACTGTCTATCCAGATAATATTTGAATGCCTCCAGTGATGGAACACTCATTTTCTTCCTCTTGAATTATCCAGTTCCATGACTGGACCACTTTCAGATTCAGAAAGAAGGTTTCGGAGACTCCTGGGTGGCTCAGTCAGTTAAGCATCTGCCTTTGGCTCAGGGCATGATCCCAAGGTCTTGGGGTGGAGCCCTTGTGTTTGTCGGGCTCCCTGCTAAGTGGGAGTCTGCTCCCCGCACCCCGTTCATGCTCCCTCTCTCTATGTCAAAATAAGTGGTTGCGTCCAAGCCAACCAAAGGGAAAAAAAGATATAAATAAATAAACAAACAAAATCTTAAAAAAGAAAGAAAGAAAGTTCTGGATCCCTCGCGCCAATAGTCCTTTTTTTAATTTCTATGTATCAGGTTTATGCCAGATTCTTAAGAGACACAGAACAAATCTGCTGCCCTCTCCATAGGACAGCCTTTCATGTATTCACAGACAGCTCTCACATCCCTTCGGAGAATTCTGTTCTTGAAGCTAGCTGTTTCCCTGTCCCCACCAGGCACCTGAAAGATGACACCCATCCTAGACCAGCTAGACAGGCCTTCCAAAGCGTTTTTGAGCAATGGTACCCCCTACTGGATATGGCGTGAACTGCACCGAAGGACTCCATCCCTACCCGGAGGCCGGAGGAAGCATCTACAGCAGCTGGAGCCCTGGCTCGCGGTGGGAGCAACACAACCACTTATTTTAAAGAGTCATCGCTTTAGAGTGACACCTACTTGTTTTCAATGTCTGTCTTAAAGAGTGTCACTGAAAACGCTACTACAAGCTTCCTTGCCAGTCATGAGGTTTCTGACAAGCTAACCTTGGGACTTTAAAGTCAGCATTCAGAAGGCTGTTTCGGAACCAAAAGGATTGGAAGGGAAGAGGGAAAGGAATATTGTGTCATGGGATCACGGCAATTTTTTTCATTTGTCTTATATCTATCGTTCTGCAGTGAATATTTGTTATAAGAAAAAAAGTTTTATGAAAAGAGAATGAATACTAAAAACGTCTCCTAGCCTCCTTTCCTTTATTCCTCCATGAGCAGGGTACCTGGTCTACAGCTGGGACACACTGCCACCCCAGAGGCAGGGGCAGAGCGGGAACATCTCTGTGGTGACTGACGGCCAGCCAGGCTCCCCATGAGTGCGACCAATCAGCCTCAAGCGGTCCCATCAGACCCTCACAGCCCAGGTTTTCAACAGGCCAGGAGCTTTCTCCTCATTGCCCACCCACCCTTGGTTCATGCCACATTCGGGTTGTCCATGTTCCCTTGCCTTACCTCCTTTTTTTCTTTTTTTTTTCTGCCTTACCTCTTGAAGTCTGCCCAACACACTGCTGGTCACGGCCAGGGCCCCAGCATCACCGGACTCCCCAGCTCCTCAACCCTCTCTCTACCCTCCCAGCATGCCCCCAGCTGCCTGCTCTTCCCTCCCTGGGAGCCCAGAGCAGCTTCAAATGACAACAGGTCATGAAAGATGATGAAAGACATCACAGATTAGAAAAACAAATCCTCATTTAAATGGAGACCTTGTGAGCAGCCAGTCACCCCTCCACAGCAAGTTCACAGCTAAGCGGGCTCGACTTCGGCTGGCACCATCTGGGGCTCTCTCTGTGCACGGGGAACTCTGGGGACCCTGGGTGCCTGGCAGACTCACCCGGCAGCCTCTCGCTGCAGCACATGTCCAGGGCCCCTCCCTCGGAGTCATCGGCTGGGGGCTTCTCTCTCTCGCTCCTGCAGATGAAAAATGCCAGATGACACTGGGCAGCAGGGATCCAGGAAGAACGCTGAAGAAGGATAAAAAGTCTTCTTGTTCACACTGTGTCCCTTGGAATAACCCTACCCCATGGTGGGGGGAGGGGGCGAGGAGAAGGACCAACCTACGGGAAGGTCAAGTTGCAGAGGCAGGAGCAGGATCCTGCAAGGGTTTTCCCCATGCAATAACCACCCTGTCATCACCATCATCCCCTCTGCCATGGAGGGAGGCTTACTATGTGCAAAGCACTTACACACTTTATCACATTAAGTCTTCACAGTGATCCCACGGATCACGGATCAATCAGTAGGCTCAGAGGAGTTAAGTAACTTGCCTAAGGTCACACAGCTCATTAGGGCAGAGCTGGGTATGAAATTACAGTCTAGGACTCCAGACGTATGCGCTCGCTGTTGTGTTATTCTGCCTCCTACTTCCGGAGGGTTTGAATCATAGGTGAGCAAGAAGAGAGGTCTGGGTCACACACAGTCTGTGCCCAGCTCCTTAAGGCCTGCAAGTACCTTGTGCTTCGGGCAGTAGAAAGTGGCCTGCAAAACTCTTTTCCAGAAATAGTTAGAAAATGTGGGTATATATATATATATATTTGTGTGTGTGTATTCTAAATGTTCTATTTCTTTCTGACATCAGAAAACCCCCTTTCTGGCCAATCAGGGCACCTTCCAGGACTGTAACAGGGTCTAGCTTTTCTCCTTTACCCCAAAGCTGGAAAAAGGTTGCTGGAGATCAGCCAGACCCCAGGAAGTATCAGCAGAATAGACACACCCTGGGAGAAACTGGGTAGCTCACAGGGGTTCCTCTACTTTGGAAATGGCCTGATGTGCAAATGTGGGTTCCAGTGGCCCTGCCTGCCCTTCATGTTCTAAATCCTGGCACAAGCTGACCGATCAAGGGCTAGACACACCATCCAGGCCACGGCAAGCAGATCCTCTCCCCTATACTTTTCAAATGCATTCTGGAGGGCCTGCAGTCTGTGGATGCTGGCTCTAAATCATGGTAGCCACAGTGTCCTGGAGAGAAGGTCCAAAAATATCTGCTGCTATGGTCCTTGGGACTGCTTCATTCCTGCCCATCCTGAGTCTTGAGTCTGTCTATCAAAACCATGAGATGCCCCAGGATCCTGCCAATAAATTCCAACATTTTAGGTTATGCCAGTGGGATCTGATCTCTGAAATTAGTAACCCAAAGAAACTTGAATACAGCACTGCCAGCGTAATACTTCCACGAAGTCTAAGAGGTCAACTACCTATTGGGTATGTCAACCCACTATTTCTGCCATCCTGCCTCTCAGACTGGTCCTGAGGCCCTGTTAGGCCCAGCTGCAGACCTGAAACAATTAAGGATAGACAAGCAGGGTTAAGGGTGACTCTTTATATCCTGACATCTTCTGCTCTCAAATGGCATTGCATTATTTTATCTTTTCCTCACACCAACTGGCAGGGGCTCTGAGGATCCCAAACCCTGGAGTCCAGCTCTTGCAGAGAGAAGGCTGCTATCTTCAAGGCCCTTTAAATGTCTCCTGAATCCTTCTACTTTTCTCCCTTTCCACCACCTATATCTTGGTCCACACCAGCCTCTCCTGCCTAGATTATTCTGGCAGTCTTTTAACTGCTCTCTGGCATTCACTCAGGCTGGCCCCTAAAACATTCTCCATCTGGTTCTAACACATATGGCTTCATAGGTTGTGCAGTTTACAACTTGCACAACTGGATGGGACAGGCCTGAGCTAGAGATGATGGTTTTAAAAACTCACCGTTTATCAAATAACTTTCTTTAAAAAAATACTTTAAGTAAAAAATACTTTAAGTGGCATCCTACTGCACTTAGAACAAAGACAGAAATGCTTTAACATGCTTTACTAGGTCTTGCATGATTTGACCCTGGTATATCCCTCCAATCTTATTTCATACCCCCTTTCCCTCTGTGCTCAGCACCCTAGCTGCAATGGACAGGCTCTTTTCTCCACAGTGCCCCTGCACATGCTCTTCTCTCTGCCTAGAGAGCCCCTCCAGCTCTACTTCCTAGTACTTTTTACTCAGAGCACTGGATACAGTTTGAAGTTTCATTTTCATGTATGCTATTGTTTGATTAACATTAGACTACAAGCTCCATTTCTGTTTTATTCACCACTGTACCTTCAAATCCTTACACAGTGCCTGGCTCAAAGTAGGTGTTAAATAAATGAATAAACAAACAAATACTCATTCAATCCGTTAATGTTGTCCTGACCTTCTTGAAAGAAACATCAGGAACCTCAAACATGGCCGCTCTCTGAGCTGTCCTGCGGGCAGGTCTTTGTGAAGCCCCCTGGAGCCCTCCTCCACAGCTGTTGTCTGGGGCAGGCACAGAATCACACATCTGGAAGGCCCCTCTTTTAGGAGAGGAGGAAAGGTGGAGAGGCACAGAATGGAGGTCTGCCCTGCTCCAGGCACCATATTGAGCTGGTGGCCATGGGGATTGCGACTCTGGGCTTTTTCTCTCTATCATAAAGAGCAGGCCGGCTGGAGGGCAACCCATGAAGGCTGGCTCCTGGCTGGGTGCAGAAAGGTGACCAAGGTATCCAGATACCTCTGGAAGGGGACCCATGTGTGACTCACAGCTGCTTTCACACCTTAAGCCTCCCAGGCCCCAAGCCGTGTTCAGAATAGCTCAGCACTGCATGTGTGCGGCGGACTCTATAAATAAGCTTCCTAGAAAATGACTAATTTCATAATCAGAAAAGCAGAAAGAGTAGCACCTCTCATCTGTAGAGGAAAATGGAGCAAGAGCCCGCCGCTTGGCCTTGTAGTTGAAGGACTCCAGGCAACCCGAGCCCGAATCTGCATGGCTGGGCTGTTCAGGGAAGGTCTTTGATGAGATCTCCGAAGAGAAGAGATGGTCCATTCAGGCTGGATGGAGAAGCCCAGTCTCTGGACACCACTCTCTCCTCCCCGCCAAGAGCAGAAATAGCTGTTTGCAGACGACTCCTGCAGGCTCCCTCCTTCTCCTCGATTTCTAGGAGCTGGGCAACGGGAGCAGAAAATGCAGCAACTTGCTGGGCTGGCCCCCTACTGCTGCTCTTAGAACCAGAGAACCCCAGAGATGAGAAGACTTGGAGATCACCCAGCCTGTCCCTCCCTCACTGACGGAGACTATCTGGGCAGGGACAGAACCTTCCCAAAGCCACTGCCTCATTCAACAAGGGTTTGTGAGCATGGCACCGGAGCTGTCCTAGGAATACAGTGATGAACCAGCCAGGCCCCTCCCTGCACGGCTCCCAATCGTCTAAGGAAGGCGCGTGCACACACACACATTTGCGTGCCCACACGCACACACATACGCGCGCACACACACAAGGCTGCTCCTGCACCTGCTTTAATCAACGTCTTCATGCAATACCTTGGGGTGCTCAGCTCAGATTGTGGTGAGTGGGCAGGGTATGCGGGGGGGTCTTCTGCAAGGGGAAGATAAAAGCTGGTTCTTAAAGGATGTTTCTAGATGGATAAGGGGTCACAAGGGAAAGACCCTCCTTCACAGGGCAGACAGCGAGAGCAACGGAGAGATCTGAGATGTATGGAACATTTGGTGCCAAGTGGGGGAGCAGGCTGGTCAGTGGGTGGGAAGCAACGGGGGCCAGGCCTCACTGCCAGGAATCCTGCCTTCCCCAGTGGGGTAGCTTTCTTCCACTTGACCATGGGGCTTGCCTTGAACTGGGGTGGCACAGGCCCCTCACCCGTAGCCTGGGTGGGAGAGGTCTATTATAGGAAGGGGAGGCCAGTAGCATGTGTTTGAGGAATGGACACTAGACCTGGCCAGTGGCATGGGATCTGGTCCCAAACTACTCCTTTTCCTAAATTGTGGTAAAATTCACCAAAGAGAAAAATCCACTATTTTAACCATCATGAGAGTGCAAAATCTTACGGTATTTAATACATTCACAACGTGGCACCACTGCTCCCACTCTCGGGCTCCAGAGCACTTTTATCGACCCAAAAGGAAGCCTCGGACCCATGAGGGAGCCCCTGCTCACTGTCCCCTCCCCTAGCCTCTGGCAGTCATTCATCTGCTTCCTGTCCACATGGATTAGCCAGTTCTGGATATTTCATAGAAACGGAATCATACGCCATGTGGTCTTTGTGTCTGGCTTCTTTCACTTCAGCATGTTTTCTAGGTGCATCCGGGTTGGAGCACACATCAGTGCTCCATTCCTTTTTATGGCTCGACAGCATTTGGCCAGGACTAGTATATTTCTGGGTGGATAGACTACCTTTTATCCATTCATCAAGCCATGGATGTCTAGGTTGCTTCCACCTTCTGGCTATTATGAACAGAGCTGCAACCAACCAACCTCTCCTTTAAACTCTGCCCCCAGCATTCTCATGACTGGGTAATCTTTTCTCACACGGGGCCCCTGAAGCCTCATCTATCAAATACGGTGGTCAGACCCCTCGCAGCCTGAATGGTATCTCTATCACTTGTTCACAGACATGCATGTGTGTGTGTGTGTGTGTGTGTGTGAAGGTAAGGTGGACCCTGCAGCTTTTCCACCATTGCTGGTTGCTGGACACTGGGCCTGGACGAGTCTGCCTCATCTTTCCAGAACTCATGGCTAGTGTTGGGTCGGGGAGGGTGTCAGAGGACAGGTACAGGCTGCAGGCTGGGTGACTCAGCATTCTAGCAGAGCCCCATCTGGGATAGGCTGGGAGCACCTCACCTCTCCCTGGAGGGTGGGGGAGGGAGACAGGTGGGTGCTGTGAGGAGGTCATGACAGTTTTGCCCAGGACTAGTATAGAGAATTGGTTAAAGGTTTTGGGAGGGAGGCCAAGGAGCCTGTGCCCTCTTCCTGGGCAGGTGAGGGGCTAGGAGGGGCTAGGATGCTGAAGCCTTATTTCTGGGTATGAGCCTGAGCCCCCAGCAACCTCCTGACCCAACCCCAGGCTGACATGTCCTCTACCTTGGGCTTCACACTCCTGGGGCTCTGAGCCCCTGAGACATCTCCCCACTGTCACCATGGAGCTCCTTCTGCCCTCCCAGAGCTCTGATCCTACCAAACATCACTATTCCCTTAATCAAACATGTATGCTCCTCTATTTCTAGGTCTTGTTCATGCTGCTACCTCAACCTGAAATTTCCTTTCTCCCTCCTGCCAAATCTTACTCATCCTCAACATTTCCTCTTCCATGGAGCCCTCCGTGATTTCCTGGGGAGAACCAAGCTCTCCCATCCCCGGGCTCCCCACACTCCTAGCTCACTACTTCTATTTGCCTCTTGCTTTGTTCTGTTGCTGTAGTTAAGCTGTTTAGACAACTGCCTCCCCCATCAGGTTTCCAGTCCCTTGAGAGCATCCCCGCCCCCACAGCCACCTCATCCCAGCTGTTCAGGACGTAAGCCTGCTGTTGTACACGTTAGAGGTCAAGTCACAGGGTCTTAGAGGTCGTGGCTCTGGGTGGCTATGGGAGGACAGACTCTAGCTGGGAACCTCCTAGCCTGGATAAGATGGCCAGGCCACGACCAGAAAGAGGCCCATAATGTGGTCTCGATTTTCACCTGCGTGTTCAGCAGGCAGGGGCCAAGGACATGCTGGTTTCATGGAAGACAAAGGATGAAGCTGACTACTTCATGCAAATGAGTCATGTGTCCCCACACATGCACAGGGAGAGGGCTTGCCCTCCTCAATGCGGTGAGCGGCAGGGACACCCACACACACCACTCACCTGGCTTCCTCATAATTCATTCCCAAGGTGTCCAGATGGGGAAAGGCGCCATCGGGGGCCAGGGCCGGAAGCTTCTCAGCAAAAAGCACACTGGAGATGCGAATGGAGAGAGGCCAACTTTAGAACACTCAGATGGGGGACTCAGGAAAGAGAGGTCAGGTGCCTTGCCTCACATCACACAGCATGGACAGCGGTTTTCAGATAGTTAATGAAAATCCAAATTTCCTTGGGAAGTTAACTCTCTTTTTCCCCAGGTGCCCTGCTTGTCCGCTGCCACACGGAAGGCCCAAGGCCAGAGGTCTATCCTGTGTTATTCCGTGTTAGACCTTTCTGCCTGAATGACTCAGTCAGTTTCTGTTGCTGGTTACCAGAGAACTCAGGCTGATGTGCGCAGCAAAGCTGGGGAACAGACAGGCTCTGAGCCCCAAGCTCCCAATGCTTAGTTCACTGCTATTTCCATCTTGCCAAGCTGCCTACCCTCCCTGCCCAGCTGTCCACTGTCCGGCCATCTGTCCTCACGTCAAAGCAGACTGCAAACTTGGAGTGTTCGGGTTCCCAAACACAGGGTCTGAGTGTTCCCTGCTTGGGATGTGCCCAGATAAATGATGACTTCTCCATCCTGCTCCGTTGGTGGGAAACCAGGGCGTGGGGGTGGCAGAAACCCAGGGGAAGAGAAGGTGGAAAGATCCTGGAGAGGCCCAGCCTGCAGAGGGGCTCATGCCACACAAAGTTTCCCATTTTCCATGTGAATCAGATCCAGGATTGGAACGTTCGTTTGCTCAACTAGTGTTTACTGAACAGCTCCTATGTGCAGGCCACCGTATGAACTCTAGTTCATGGCCTTGTGGGGGAATGAATGCAGGACAGCAAAAGGCCAGTCTGATGGAGATGCTCAGGGTACTGTGGGGGCACCAGTGAGGTCCCTAATGAGGCAGAGAAGTCGGGAAACTTCCAGGGAAGGAATCTATGGTGTGCCGTGAAAGAGGAGCTGGGGTCAGCAGCTACGGAAAGACAGGGGCAGGTGGGCCCTTCCAGGCTGAAGGAAGGCATGTGAATGGGCCTGGAGTTAAGAGAAAGCAGGGCACATTCAAGAGATGGGAAGAAATTCAGTCTGACAAAGGGAGAGTGAAAAAGGGAACACGATGCGGGACAGGGACGCTGATGGAGATGCTCATTTGTGATACTCTTATGTCTTGTTTTCCATCTCCCTCCCCTCTCTCCCAAGGTGAAACAGACCTTCATTCTTCAAACAGCCCTAGGAGGAACATAGTTTAATTTCCTGTGGTTTCTAGATGAAAAGATGGAGATTCAGAAACGTGAAGTGACCCGCCCCAGGCCACACAGCTAGTAATGACAGATCTGCCCCTCACTGCCCATGTTCCTAAGCTCTCTTCTCTTCTGGCTTTCCACCTTGGTTGAAAACAGTGCTCTGAAGGTAGGAAGAGAGTGAACATGAATGAATCAGCAGACTACAGCGGCTGTGCTGTAATAGTTCTTTTTAAAAATTCCTCACTGTAGGTCTAATAGGCTGCATCCCATTTCACAGATGAAGAAACTAAGGCTTGGGGGTGAAGAGACTCTGCCAGGCTCACGCAGTGGGCAGATGAGTGAAGGAGCCAGAGGTGTACTCTGGCATGCCTGTCTTCCTGCCCAGGACCTCAAAGGAGCTCCTTGCTGTAGGGCCATTTGCTTTTTGTGCCCTCCCCAGGCCAGGAATGACTGGAAATCCTGCCCTGGATGATGGTCTCAGGTTCTTCCACGTGAGTAATCAGCCCAGAGTGTCCTCCTTGGGAGAATGGTTTGGGTGGGGGTGTCTATGATGGCAGCTGCGTTCCAATCCCGGAGCAACATACTCTCTGGCCAGCAGCCCAGGACTCTTGTCCAAGGCCACCCTGTGACTTCGGGCCGGTCCTTTCCTCTAGTCTGAGTCTCAGTAGCACCAGCTAAAATCAAGGGACTTGAACTTAATGAATTTTAAGGGCCTTTCCTTAAGGTCAAGCCTCAACTTCAGGGCTGTCAATGGATTTAATGAGGCGGGGGGTGGTGGAGGGGTAGGGAACCAGCAGAGGGCGCTCCCAGCAGCAGGGAGCCAAGGCTTTGGTCCATGGAGCGGATCCCACCCTAGCCAGTCACTGACAGAGGCCATGTTCACTTCTGATGATTAGTATCTGTTGCGGATAGTCCTATTTGTATGGTAAGCCCCCAGAAAGATCAATCCAAGAGCAGGATTTCAGCGTTCATATGTCATGGTTCAACCCCGTGTTCCAACACTCTGAAAACACTCATTCCGTTCCCTCTCTCAACACCTCCTGAGACCCAGGTACAGAGTCCAGTGTACAAGGAGAAAACAGACCCTCACAAACGTGAAGGCACGATCACATCTCTTGTGAGGGTCTACTGCTATCTCCATTCGGTTAATGTCCACTCCTACCTGTAACACCTTGGAATGTAATTTTCCCTCCACTGGAAAAGCCCCCTTTCCCCTTCCCAGAATGGAAAACTCTTGAAGACTCTTTTAAGCTCTTGTTCCAATGTCCCCTCTTCCTTTCTCACCTCTCTGTTCAGAAATGATCTACTGATGCCTGTATCCCCAGTTCCCACGGAGCATCTGTACACAAACCTGTGGACTGGAATTCCCACGCACCGCCCCCCTCGGCCACCCCCCGGATTGAGTGCTCGCTGTGTGCTGGAGACCATGCCAACTGCTAGGCACATTCTCCATCCTTCATCTCTCGCTGTAACCCCATCAACTAAACACAGTGCTCCTCCTCCTCCTACACATGCGGAGATTGGGACTTGGAGGGACTGAGTCATTGTTCAAGGTCACACAGTTGGTAAGTGGCAGAACCAGGCTTCCAGCTCAGTTTGCCTCAACCCCAGGCCCAGGCTTTATTTAAACCACGAAGTGTGCAGCTTCTGGCACGGACCCTCCTGTTTCCCATACCTATACTCGATCTGACACCTGGCAGATAGATTCAAGATGTATTTCTTCGAAAGATCAATTAAAAGCAGGTTAGAGACTGAGTATGAATAAATGTCTCATTAAAAACCAAAAAAGCACAGGCTGTGGGATTGGGTAGCCTGAGTATGAACGAAGGATTCCCTCAGTGGCTGCCCAGTCTTGCATAAGATACTTGGATTCTCTATGCCTCAGCTTCCTTACCTGTGAAATGGAAAAAATCATCTAGACATCAAAGGATTCTTAAGGATCTTAAGTGAGGGATGCTTGGGGGGCTCAGTCGGTAAGCATCTGCCTTTGGCTCAGGTCATGATCCCAGGGCCCTGGGATCCCTGCTCTGCTGGAAGTCATCCCCCCCGCCCACCTTGCTCATGAGCATATGCTGTCTCAAATAAAATCTTAAAAAACAAAAAAACAAAAAACAACCCTGGAGTGCCTGGGTGGCTCAGTGGATTAAGCTTCTGCCTTTGGCTCAGGTCATGATCTCAGGGTCCACGGATGGAGCCCCGCATCAGGCTCTTTGCTCAGTGGGAGCCTGCTTCCCCCTCTCTGTCTGCCTGCCTCTCTGCCTACTTGTGATCTCTCTCTCTTGTCAAATAAATAAGTAAAATCTTAAAAAAAAAAAAACAAACCCTAAAAACATTAGCTGTTTGTCTTGCACACATACATTATCTTATATGCCAGGTGTTGCCTGTTTCTCAGTGAATACAGCTCTTCTTTCCCCACACAGATGAGGCCTATGGAGACTCTAGAATGAGTTTTATGATGTGCTGGTAAATTGGTTCTCAGAAATATAAATAAATAAATGGAAAAACCCTGATTAGTGGCACCTGCCGATTTCCATGGTGTAAATGGTCCCACCATTTACTGACTGACAAATGTGAGGGTCAGGCTGCCAGTCGTGGAGGAGAGCAGGAATTTTACTCCAACTCTCTGAGCCTGTTTCCTCATCTTCAACATCCCATTGTGGGGATGAGTAAACATCCAGCTCCTAGAGGGATGATGGAGAAGTTCAGGGCACAGAGTGCACTATGTACAAGTGAGCTCGCACAATGGTGGTGGACAGTTGTAACAACACTCCGTCTCAGGGCTACTTGTCTGGCTCGGACACTGGCCCAGCCTCAGTACCTGGCCCTTCACCGAAGGCCCTGGCAGAGTCTCTGTCTTGGACTTCTAGGACTAAGGCCTTGTCCACTCTTGTAGCTCTCCCCAGTCAACATGCAACGAGCATTCTGACTTGGCCTATGTTGGTCACACACACACACTGACCACAAATAGTTTCATGCGGCCGGTGTCTACGGGCCTCTGGTTTCAGCCCTCGGTGTCCCTGATGCCACCCCTTGGCCTGAACTACTGTGCCTCTGCTTTGCTCTGGATCATCCACAATGGTCCCATTTGGCCTCTGCTCTGCCCTTCATGCTTATGAAACCTCTTCTCACAGGGCTTGTGTGTGCTTACAGAGTGGAGAGTTGGGGCTCAGAGCCACGGTTGCTCCCCCTGCAGCCAGGGAAGTTTCTAGCTCCTGCCTTTCCATCATGAAGTCTAGTCCTGGCCTGAGTCCCCACACTCTGCCTCTGATTTAACCCTTTGGTGCTAAGGCCTGGCCCAAGCAGTGCCAGCCCAGGCTGGGAAGACCCTGGCACTTTAGGATTCGGTGAAAGACTCAGACAAACTGAGTCAGAGGCAGAGACTGGGAGAGGCAAGGCAGAGACTACCTTTGGAAAACCTTGGTTGGGTCAGAGGAGAGACAAGAGTATCAAATGGAATGGGAAGGAAAAAGAAAAAAAACAACAACAACAGATGGGGCCAGGTATCAAAGTTTAAAAGGGTCTGACCTCCTGTATTCAGATGTACTGTCAGCTGCGTGCCTCCGATATGCCCCATGCTTTCCAATGCCTTATCTAATTAGACCCTTGCAACAACTTGTGAAAAAGACATCATAAGCTCACTTAGTCTAGGAGCTAATAGGCACTTGGAAGGGTTAGAGCTTGGCAAGAGCATAGGTTAAGTGTCACTCTAGTCCTGCTCAGGTGACCCATGGAAAAGACAGGACACAACCTGGTCCTGCGCCAAGGATGGGCAGTCTTCTCTATGCCTCATGCTACTGTACAGCTGGAAACCTGGGGCCCAG